AAGTGTAATAAGACAAAATTTTGTAAATATTTTACAAATTAATTACATTTAATATATTTTGCATTAAAATGACTTTTTTTTTTTTAAAGTTGAGGAATAAAAATGAAATCAATCCAACCCGTATTACGGACAATGATCCACGATTTTACAAGAGAGTTACTCTAATATTTATGGTTTAGTTTTTTGGAAGATGCCATCTTGTAGACAGTTTGAATTAATCACGTCAATCCATATGAGTTCATCAACAACTAGAAAATAAGGAAAGTAGGGAAAACCGTTGTAACATTTTTATAATTATTATGATGCATTAGAAAACATTTGATAGTGCATCTGTGAATAACAAATTGCGATGAGAATGTGGCATTTCTATAACTTCTCTTTATGGGACTCAATAACACCTCTAACTACTAGATAACTTTCCTTCTTTCAAAATGTTGAATCCCCAACCTCAAAAGTCCTTCATATTCCGATTCGACAGAGCATTTGAGTAAATGTAAATCACGATAACTCAATGACTCAGCAATCAGGATCAAATGCCGGTGCATTTTTTTCAAGTTAACTATTAATAACTTATTTGAGGAATTGAGGGTTATCCCCAAAAAAATGGAGTTACATTTTTGAAGAATAATGTTGAGGCGTGGGGCTCAAAAATAAAACGTTAACCAGAATTTGCCTTGTACGCACTAATCGTTTGTCTCTTACGGGGTTCGCAATAGCATAAACTTTGCTTCTCTGTGAGGACTGAGTGAACGGGAAGAAACCTCTCTCACCAGATTCTTAAGATCCAAAAGCCCATCATTCGTCTCAGCAGTCTTTTGCCCACTGCAAAATCTCAGCGCACACAAACACATACCAGTCATAATAAATCTCGTTGCCTCTTCAAAGATTAGAAATGGGATCCGGAGGAATTGGTAGCCTAATCAAAGTGCTCATTCAGAACTTCGATGTTCTTGCTGGGTGGGTCTCTCTATTATTCTGTGATTTACCCTTTTCATTTCTTATGAATTTGACAATTTCATGGACAAAGTTAGATTTTTTGTTTGAAGTAAAAATTGCAATAGAAATTACTGCGCAGTAAAGGATTTATTCATTTGGGTTTACTGATTACTTCCCTTACCTTTGATATTGCAGGCCTGTGGTCAGTCTGGTTTATCCTCTGTAAGTGGCATTCTAGTTCTTACTCTCAAAGTAGTTTGTATTTTCCAACTAGTTTTGTGTTTCTTTGAATTTACTTGTTAGTTGTGATTTCTTTATACAAGTAGGAATGAAAAGATTTCATTTTTGGTTATGTGAAATCTAGCATTTGATTTGTTGGGCGGAGGTCAGTGAAGGGCTAAGTCCAACGCCGTGCCCCTCGAAAATGTGGTGGCAGTCTATAAGAAAATAAAGGTGCCCCTTCACTACTAGGTATAGTTTTTGGCGCTTGATTTAACAAGTGGTATTAGAGTCTGGTCGTAGGGTTCGAGACCCTGCCTCTTGAAAATGTGCTTGATTCTAACATGATTTCATTGCGTTTTGATCTCTGCCATAATTTTGTCTACAGATATGCTTCAATCAGGGCTATTGAGACCAAAAATCCTGTGGATGATCAGCAATGGCTTACCTACTGGGTTCTGTACTCTATGATTACGCTTTTTGAACTTACATTCGCGAAAGTTCTTGAGTGGTAACTTTTATGTCACTTACCATTGGAAAATTTGTGTTTTGAGTAGTACCATATGTTATTGTGCTTGTCAATTGGTGCTTATTAGCTATGGATATAGGATGGCTCAGATAAATTAGAGATTAGTGTCTTGCATAGGATTAATTGGTCGATTACTAAAAGGGTGAGAAGCCAAGATTTTTTGGGTTTTTTGTTTATGTTTCACTGCATTCTTCACGGGGCAAAGATGAAGGAGAGAAAAAAAGTAACCGGGGAAGTTGGGAAAGAGTTAAACTGGTCTAATCTGTGGGAAAATCCTCGTAATGAAACTTAGAAGAAAACAAATTCTAATTGTGGGAAATGCACAATGAGCAACAGAAAATCATCGAGATATTTACATAATCGATGTCTTTATGGTAGATTTAGTATACATTTCTATTGGCTTGCTCTTCTTATGCACAGTTAAGTAGTTAACCTTATAAGCGTCTATTTTATTAACTGCATAACAGGTTCCCGATCTGGTCATATGCGAAACTGATGGCTACCTGCTGGTTGGTCATACCTTACTTTAGCGGGGCTGCATATGTCTACGAGCACTATGTTAGGCCATACATTGTTAAAGGAGAAGTAGTGAACATCTGGTATGTGCCCCGAAAGAAGGATTTTTCCAGTAAACCTGATGACATTCTAACTGCAGCCGAGAAATACATTGAAGAACATGGAACCCAAGCATTTGAAGATATAATTCACAGGGTATTTTAATTATATTTATCCTTTTATGTTTACTTCTTTAATTATCTAAATTATAGGAAAATTAAGACTATTGAAAAGTATAATCTATTGGATTGCGTGTGCATGTTGTCTAAGGATGGCAATGAGTCGGGGTAGGTTGGGAGGGCTACATTCACCACCTGACCCACCTTATACTTTCTCCACCCCTACCCCGACTCGCAGCGGGTGGACTTTTTCAAAACCCACACCCGGTGGTGGGGTACGGGGTACTCAGTACGGGTACCCACCACTTATTATCTTATTAATTTTTTAAAAATAATATTTAAATTACTTACACATAATAAAATAATAAAATTCAGGTTATATTAAAACATAAGATAATAGAAATATTCTAATATAATAACTACATTGTTAATTTTTTAAATAAACTTATTAGTTTCAAATTAAAAATAGTAAGAAGTTAACAAAAGTTATAGAAACTTTTAGAATTAACTACATACTAGTACTTGCCAAGCACCTTGTGCTCAGATGGCATGTAGTGACCTCTCCCTTATGGGAGGTCATGAGATCAAGCCTCAATGGAGGTGTTGTTGAATCTTTGTGCCTCTTTGTGCTTCATTAGGTTGAGAAAGTATGTTTGAACAGATACTATAATGTAATACATACTAGTACTTGTTTTACTATACATATATACATGATGGATCGGGGGGGGTTCTAGGCAGGTTTTGTATATAAAAGTATAAAACCCTCATCCAACTTGACCCACCAAGATTTAAAATTTTAAGACCCACACCTGACCCACCACCCACTATCACCCAAAAAACCCGATCCATGTAGCGTGGATACCCGCGGGGCTGATTGAAATTGCCGTCAATATAATTGCACTCGTTTTCTCTCCCTGAGCTCATTTTATCTTTTCATTCTGCAGTCTGAAAGAGAATCGAAGTACAGGAACAGCAATTATGCGTTTTATGATGACGACGACTATAGATACTGAGTCTTTCAAGTGGGAATACATGCACATATGCTGTGGACCTTGAGAGGAAAACATGAGTAATATTGTAAAGAGATTGGATTTTAACTGATAGTGTACTATGGTTTCAGTAACAGTCATTTCTTTTTTGAGCCTTCCAGCTTTCTGTGCATTTTCAAGCTGTCAAATGCTACGTACTGTCTGTGTGCAACATTGCAAAGTCCTCACCTTCACTCAGATTTTGAGTGGATTAAACATTCATTGCACATAAATAGAGTACACAATCATTCTCAAACAATTCTGCTTGTGAATATTGTGTTGGGAACTTTGTGAATTATTTCTTTGGTGTTTTGATTAGATCCCAATATGCAATAGCAACATTGATTTGGTTAATTCACAATTTAGAGTGATTGTCACTGCTAAGAGTTCCACCTTGAAAAGAATAAGAAAAAATATATGAGTTTATTAGGTCATGAGTTAGATTAGCTAATTGATTGGATTCAGTCTTTTACTGTGATTTGATGTATGTGCATTTTAACTCAGTTGAATGACCTTGGCCTAGTGTTAACGAACCGAACATGAACGAACGGAGGTTGTTTGTTAAGATTTTTGGAGTGTTCATGTCCGTGTTTGTTTGTTAAGGTTTTTGAAAATCCTGTTTGTGTTCGTTTGTTGAGCGTTCATTAGTGTTCGTTAACATTTGCAAATGCGTTCACAAACGTTTTCGTTAACATTAATGAACATCTTCACAAATATGTTCGTTAACCCTAATGGACTTGTTCACGTTCGTGAACACGTTTATCAACCTTAATAACCAAACACATGCACATGTATGTTCACAAACAAGAGCCAAACAAACAACACAACTATATATATATATATATATATATATATATATATATATATATATGCTTAACTACTTGTTCATGAATATGTTCGTAAACACTATTAAACAAACACTAAACAAACTTTTTCATGAACATCATTAAACGAATACAAACGAGCTTGTTCACGAGCTCTTAGAAAATGGGCCTACAACTGTTCAGACTCTATACGTTTATAAACCAAGCTCTAAAATTTGTTCATTTATGTTCGTTTACCTTGACAAACATAATCGAACGCTTACCAAACACAAACACAAGTAGTTTAGTGGAAGCTCTGTTCGCTGATACTCCTATTCCTAGTTGGAAATCTTAAAAAATGGAGAACTACACATACAGTTATGAACAAATTTGGCTCGCCTTTCAGACTCTGTTACTGCAATCTTTTTACTACACAGATGCAAATTAGATTTCCAGTGCATCACAAGTCCAGTAATTGAGGCTACAATGTCAGAAAATTTGCAAAGAACGCGATGGAGCTACCAGACAGAATACATGATGTTAAGGCGTCTAGAGCTGAAAGATAAAAGAGTTTCACAAATTTTAAAGCAATGGAAGAATTACTAAACTGGCTTATTAACCCTTATCGGCAAGCACCCACAATCTCGACTTTTTCTCTTTTACTCGTCTTCGTGATCCTCCTCCAGTTCACCTTCTTCATCGGCCTCTGCAGATTGGTATAATATTTCCTTGGCTTCTTCTAGTGCAGACTCTTTCTCATCAGCAGCATACAGGATTTTCTTAATTGCCACAGCCATCTGCAACGCGAATTTAAAACTCAAATTAATGTCGACCTAACAACTTTCACATTAACGACTTCAGATTACACGCAACACTCTGCTTACCAATTAAGTATGCACCTTTGGGGGTAATCCCAGCCAAGATGGCTAAGGATACAAACTTGTAACCACAAGGTCACGAGTTTGAATGCTAGCCCTCTTGGTTTGAGCCAGTCAGTTATGAACAACCTAGGCTGGTTTACCTCCTTGTGGTCCTTTGCCAGCTAGGGCCACAAGGCAGGATATATCCTCAACCAAGATGGCTAAGGATACTAACTTGTAACCATAAGGTCATGAGTTTGAATGCCAGCCCTCTTGGTTTGAGCCGGTCAGCTATGAACAACCTAGGCTGGTTTACCTCCTTGTGGTCCTTTGCCAGCTAGGGCCACAAGGCGGGATTTATCCAGTGCACACCCTCAGGTAGTGATTGCGGGTTCCCGCATCACCCTGTGATCAACCTTTTTATAATTTGCCATTCAATCCCCTTTTTCACATTGCTAAATCATCAGCCTAGAGGAAAGTTGCAATGGTCTCAAGAAACATTTCTTATTCCAGTCTGTTTACTGTTTTTTTGCCGTTAAAAGTACTAATTTATAATGCAAATCAAAATGAACATGTTGAAATACATCATTTTGGAGTTACTTTGCTCTAGATTCATTCCACATCTCCTTTTGAATTCAGTCCTTCAAAATTAAGCTTGCCATTATTTGTAAGGAAATGAAAATAAGCAGCTCTTTATATCCTAAGCATGTTGTTTAACAGCATATATGGCTTAGTTTCATTGTTTCATAATATTTTCAATTTGTCAAATAGGGGAGCGAAAAAACCCTTGGCATAGGTTATACAAGACAAAAGAGATTGCAAAGTAACAGTAAAATTCATGCAGAAATGGATGGATTCAAAGATTACCGGGACATTTTCTATTTCAGGGCCCTGGCAGAGAATCTCAATATCACGTAGTTTTGCAAAATAAAAATCTCTTTCCTTCTCCAAAAGGTCTATAGAGAGTTTGAGTTCTGTAACCTGTATAATCATATAGAATTAGTCATTAGACAATTTAGACAAAAGCTATCAACAAATCAACATGGACAACACCTCTCAACCATTGGCAAGGAGCTCGAAACAAAATCTAACAGCATAAAATAGAAAATGGAAAGGGCAAAAGACATCTGAATAAATTTAAGCAGTGCAATTAGTTGACAGTTCAAGAAATGCAAAGCCTATTAGGTACTTGGCAAAGTAATATTGTTTATTCTGTTTTAACTAAATTATATCAAATTGGAAATGTCTTTTAAGGTCAAAGTTTTGGGTTCGAGTATTTTTGAAAGCCACATGTTGAAACATAGCTTTTGCTTGTAGGATGATAATAAAATTTGAAAAAGAAGCATTTGGCAAATGCAGCAAATTACCTCCTTTGACAATGACTGGATCTCTGATGAAGAATTAGCTCCAGTTGGTACTACGCGTGGCTTTGCTTGCTTGGATTCTACATCATAAAAAATAAAGCATAAGATTGAATCCAATCAATTAGCCAGTCTAACTAGGCCGGGGGACCGGACAGGCTCTAATACCATGTTACAATCTAAAAGATCGGGCCAAGATCACTCAACTGGGCTATAATGCACATGGGTCAAACCACACTAAAAGACTGAATCCAATCAATTAGCTAGTCTAACCCATGACCTTATAAACCCATATGTTCTCTCTTATTTTTCAACGTGGACTCTTAACACATACCAAGAGTTGGAAGATAAATGCAACAAGAATAGATAAATGAATAAATGAGAGTTCTTATTCTGACCCAAAATCTTAGTGGAGCCTATTCCATCCCCGACATTTTGCCCGTGAGAGTTGTTCGTTTGTAGTGACTTTGTAGTCTTTTGAGAAATTTTAGTAACCCGTTCCTTCCCACCTTTACCTCGGCGTTCCACAGGATTATAATTCCTGAAAATACACAAGTATTGAAACCACTAGGAAGGAAATGGTGCTAATTTTATGATAGGTGGGGGATGCTGAAGCATATCGGAAGAGGTACTATACTCATTCATAATGCCACCATTCACGGAATCACAATAACGTTTCAACCATTGCAAAAACTCCAAGTTATCCAAAGTCCGACCCTTAACAAGCCTGTTGACTTCAATATGCTGCAACCAACGTCGAGAAAACATGTAAGTTTGCGAGAGTATCCACAATTAAATAAACACAAACATACTGTCATTGACTTACTTTGAAAAAAAAACAAATTATGGCAAAGAAATTGGCATCAAAATAATTTCTACAAATAATATTCCGTGATTTACCTTGTCAATTTTAAGCTTGTTGAAAACATCCTGCAGTACTTTATAATTTTGGATCATATCATATTCTGTCTTTGCATCAAAATTCACCTATCCCGGTAAAAAAAGTCAGAAATGCAAGGCATAAAATTTTGAAAAACACAAATAAGGGAAATTGAAAGGCGATTTTCCACCTTGTGCATTGGAACAATTCCTGGGTAGGTCATGTCCATCATCTGACATTGCACCGCTCCAGATGCAGCCTAACAACATGAAATTTGAAAATCAATACAATCACGATAATATCTCTAGTAAATCATGCACATTTCTCGAACATTTGGACCCTACCATCCATGATTTTATAGCTGGGAGACATTATAAGCTATCAACAGTCAATTAATCTCAATGATGAGAAGTAATCTCAGTTTTGCACTTTGAGGAGACATATAATCACTACTCAGAACACAAATAAGTACCATTTGAAAAGGGAATACCCTCTCCCCATTTTTCAAGATTACTTTCTAAATCAAACCCCAAAAGGGCCAAAATGCTCCCTTTTTTCAATTTTTTGTTTTTGTTTTTGTTTTCCTTTTTATTTTTATTTTCTAAGAAAAGAATAAGCATCATACAAGGAAACAATTGAAAATTCTAGATTTAACCACATTCCCTGTCACAAATCTAGAAGAAAACCAGCACAAAAGGCCTTTTTTTCCTAAAGAAACATAGAATGACTTGCAAATTTCAGGAGAAATCAACAAAGAATAAATAAATAACAAAAATGTACCTTCGGGTAAGAGAGCATCAAAAGATAAGAACCTTTCAAAACAATAACAAATTAAAATTTCCACTTAAAAAGAAGAAAATAAATCAATTCCCAGAAATTTTTCCATTTAAATCACCAAAAACAAAAAAAAAAAAAAAAACCCACAAATGAAATGAAGCAAAGAATAAGCGAAGAATAAAATGAAGAAAAATGGGGGAATGGGCACCTCCTCAATGCGAGTAAGATTAATCTGAAGCCTGGAATTAATCCAGGAAAGAATCTCATTCCTCCCCACAAAGTAGGCACTGTCCATAATCCCAATATTAGAAGCCATCGCGAGCTTACACACAGATTATATCTGAACCCAAAAGGGTGTCAAGAAATGAAGGAATTGAGAAGCAGAATCACAGAAACGGAGAAGAAGAATAGGATGGATTATAATGTGCTTTCTATGCACTCTCCGTACGTTGTTGGAGGAAAATGGAATGACAGAAAGAGAAAAAGTGGAGGTGCGTATAGCATAGGCGTTCGTAATTCAAATTAAATACGGAGAATTTGTTAGCCAAAACAGATATTCCCTAAGTCCATTTTATTTGAGATTTGATTAAAATTGTTTACAATTAATTTTTTTTAGGAAAAGGATTAAACAGGTCTTTTAATTTTACACGAAAGAAAAATTAAATTTCTAATTTTTTTTTTTGAAAGAGAAAGTTTAATTCATTAAATCGGAATCAAGAATGTTAACAAAGAAGGCAGGTGGTTCATCTAACCACTCACCGCAACTTGACACAGAAAAGGTCTCCCTAGCAACAGTGTGGGCAGCACAATTCGCATCGTTTAACATGACAGAACTCCACATCTTCAATCTCAGATGCCAAGTTCTTTACATCATCCACTAAGTATCCAAAAACTGAAATAAAAGAAACCGAAATAATAGCATTAAAAACAATATGACAATCTGTTTCCACGTCCACAGCACCCAAATCAGTGCCCTTTAGCCAACTCAACGCCTCCCGAATAGAAAGCACATTCGTTTCCCTAACCGTACACAACCCGGGCACTCTCATGTTCTTTGCAGCTAGGAAATTACCACCATCATCACGCAAGACCCAGCCGAATCCCATAGCATTATCCTCCACTCTTAACGCAACATCAGTATTAAGCTTAAGCCTCCCATGCACTGGTCTTGTCCAAGTAGCCACGGCATGTGTGTCTATGTGGCCAGTACCAACTAGCAGCTTTTCGTTTGCATCTCTCCAACACTCCAGAAACGCCAACGCCCTATGCAACATGGTAGATAAATCATAACCAATGCGCTTCCACACACTCTCATTCCTACTGCACCACACACTCCAACAAGCCATAACAAACTTAGATTTTGCAATTAAATCTAATGTGCCCAAAGCCTAAAAGAACCAGTCACCCAGATGATTACCATCGTAGTTACTTACATGCGGCATCTCCAACATGTTCCAAAGCCGAACTGCCTCCCCACACTGGACAAAAAGATGCATGGCCGACTCCTGCACCTACCTGCACATATGGCAATCCAACAAGCATGCAACATTCTTAATCATCAATATATCACGTGTAGGAAGATAGAGGGACGCTAGCTGCCAACAAAAATTCTTCACCTTAGGAGGGACATGCAGGCTCCAAATACTTGCCCATGGACGGTCACTCGCGGCCACCTTAGTAAGCTGCTTATAGCATGACTTAACCGAATACACACCCTTCTGCTCCCATTGCCAAAACCACTGATCACAAGGCTTCTGAATACTGACAGGAATATTCAAAATTAAGTTAGCATCGCGGGCATTAAAAAATATCCTTTACACAATCCACATCCCATCCTGTACCATGCAAATCCATCAAGGAGGCCACCGGTGCTTCATAAACTGTCTAGTGCAACTCCGTTTCCACAAATGAATTATTATCCACTGGTAGCCAAAGATCCCTGCCAATAATAGTCACATTGCCATCGCCTATGACCCTTCTATAGCCCTCCTTCAAGCAGCCTTTAACTTCCAGCATACCCCGCCAAATGTAGGATGGGTTGCTCCCTTCCCTGGCATCAAAAAAATCACAATCAGAGTAATAGCGTGCCTTAAACACACGAGCCACTAGACTTGTGGGATTGGAAATTAAACTCCATGCCTGCTTCCTAAGTAGAGCTTTGTTCATCTAATGAAGACGACGAAAACTCATTCCACCACATGCTTTAAGCCTTGACAGACCCTCCCATGATCGCCACCTTATTCCACGGCCATTCCCCACACTACCAGTCCACCAGTATTGATTCATAATTACCTCTATTTCCCGACAAAGGCCCAAGGGAAGCAGAAAGACCATCATAGCATATGCCGGCATTGCCTGCAAAACATTTTTCAATAGAACCTCCCTCCCAGCTCTTGACAAGAACTTGGCATTCCAAGAACGAACCCTGGTGAGTATACGATCCTTCAGAAACCCCAAAATAGCCTTCTTTCTCCTCCCCACTCGTTTCACCCTCCTCAACTCCCAGAATATCAACCACCTCATTCCTTCTATTCTGCGGCACATTTACACTAAAACATGCAGCAGATTTATCATAATTAATACGCTGGCCAGAAGCCCTGGCATAAGTGTCTAGCACATACCTCATTTGGACGCTTTCCTCATCATTTGCCCGAAGAAACAGGAAGGAGTCATCTGCAAAGAGAAGATGAGAGACAGAAGGTGCACCCCTAGCCACCGAAACCCCATGCAATCGGCCCGCAGACATGCTTTTTTCAATCATAGCGCTCAACCCCTCGACCACAAAGAGGAACAAATACGGAGAAAACGGGTCCCCCTGACGAAGACCCCTTCCTGGAATAATTGGTCCCAAATGCCGCTGATCATGTAAGATATGGTACTGAACTGAGGTTACCGTTTCAAGCAGAATATCAACCCAACGAATACCAAACCCCATCTTGAGCAACACTGCCCGAAGAAACTCCCATTCCACCCGATCATAGGCTTTGGACATGTCAAGCTTCTACGCAACCACCCCCTCACGCCCCTGGGTCTTACGTTTCAAAAAGTGGTGGACCTCGTAGGCTAGCATGATATTGTCAGTTATTAAGCGCCCCGGGACAAAGGCACTTTGAGCACTCGAAATCAACTTCTGCAGCAAGGGTTTTAACCGGTTTGCACATACCTTAGCCGCTATCTTATAAATGACGTTACACAAAGCTATCGGCGCGAAGATCCTTCATGGTCTCCGGCCTGGTCTTTTTTGGAATCAAAACAACGAGAGTATCATTAGCCCTTTGCGGGAGCTTGGCCGAATCCAGGAAACCCCTGCAGAAAGCCGTAACCTCCCCCCCCCCCCCTCCCCACAATGTCCCAGAAGTATTGGAAAAACCCCGGCCCGAAACCATCTGGACCCGGGGACTTGTCAGGATGCATCTGAAACACCGCAGCACGAACCTCCTCCATACTTAGCGGGCGCAGCAGCATAGCATTATCATGCTCAGTTACCTTCTCTGTTATTGCATCAATTACCTCCTGCATCTCTCCATAATTTGGGGTAAACAGACCAGTATCATAATTCAGCATAACATTGTCCAACCCCTCCTTATCCTCCACCCATTTCCCATTTTCATCTTGGAGCCGTCTAATAGTATTCCGTCGGCGTCTAGCTTTCACAGAATTGTGAAAAAACTTGCTATTGACATCTCCACCTTGGTACCAAAACTCCTTAGCCCGCTGTTTCCAGAAATAATGTTGTTGCTCCAACAGAAAGAGCAACTCCCTCTCCACCGCATCATACTCTCGCACCCCAGGCTCATCACGACGCCCTCTTAACCAAACCAAGCGTCGCTTATTATGCTCTATCTTCCGCTGAAAATCTCTGTTATAATTCCGCCCCCACCTCTTTATGTCATGAGTACACGCCTCCACCATTGCTAACATATCCAGGCCCACCCTTCTGTCCCAACTCTGGGTTACAATTTCCCTACACGTTTCTTCTCGCAGCCACATATTATCAAAACAAAATCTGGCCCGCTTCCGTACTCGGGGGAGAGTAACTGGAGTAAGAATCAGGGGTAGATGATCACTGTATGGAACGATCAGAGAATGTGCCTGAGCACCCTGAAACAGATTCAACCAACCCTCACATGCCAATATACGGTCCAACTTCTCCTCAATCATTATACCCGTACCCTGCGACTTCACCCAAGTGAACTGGGGTCCCTCAAAAGGGACATCCTGCAAATCACAATCAGCAATAGCCTCTCTAAAGCCATTTATCAACCAAGGCGGATGTGGGGCCCGACCAACCTTCTCAGACTGATCTAGGAGATCATTTAAATCCCCCATCACCAACCACGGTAGAGAAGACCGAGATGACAAGGAACGCAACAGCTGCCATGCCTCCCGCCTACGGTGACTCTCCGGGAACCCATAAAAACCAGTAAAACGCCAGGAGGGACTACCAACATCCAACCGTAACTCACTATCAATATGATTCGCAGAATAACCCGTAACTCTCAAATCCACGTTTTTCATCCATAACAACGCTAAACCCCCCCTCCGACCATCCGCCTCCAATGTAAAGACACAATCAAACCCCAGTTGTACTCGAATATCCTCCAAACGCTGCTTATCAGCAAAAGTCTCGATCAAATAAACCACACTTGGCCTCTTAGTGCGAACAAGGTCCGCTAAAACACGAACTGTCGTCAGGTTGCCAAGCCCCCGGCAATTCCAGGAAATCAGACTCATAATTCTCGGCGGGCTTGCTCTGCAAGTCCCGCCCCTAATCCGTTTTTTGACACGGCAACTTCGCAATCCATTTCCCCTCCACCCTCATTCACCTCGGCTTCATCCTCCTCCACCCTCCGTCTCTTCTGCTCCCCTACTACAACCCCCGGCACAGCACATGCAACCCCAGTTACACAGTTCGGCCGCCCACTGCCCAGTCCCGAATCACCCCCACTGTCCATCACCTTCCCGTCAAAGCTACTGGAAACCGCATCAACCACCATAGCAGGAGATCTCCACAACTTACGCTCAGCAGCAGTCTCTGGGGGAATCCAACTTCTGTTTGTCGTTGGCGGTCCTCGGCGAGAAGAGGCTCTTAACCAGGCCCCGTATGGCTTCTCGGCCTTTGGATCAGTGCGTTGTAATGCAAGCCTACAATGCCTATCCCCATGCCCAACCAACCCACATAAGAAACAAAAGGTCGGCAACCGTTCATACCGAAAATCAATGATAGACCAATTCCCGGCATCCCGCCTGAGCTTCATCTGCTTCTTGAGAGGCTTGGTGATGTCCAGCGACACCCAAAAATGATAATACGTCCTCATGAAACCATCAAAATTTCTCTCATCAGACTGTACCACAACCCCCAGGAACGAGCCGACAGCCTTGACCACCGACTCCGAACGAAATCCGACCGGCAGTGCATGTATCTGAACCCAGAATTCCGCATGATCCAATTGAGCAGTTTCCGGATCCTCCCCTGGTCCGAGCCTCTTTAACACTAACAAGCTTTGCTCATACGCCCAAGGGCCCTCGCTTAGAATACGCTGGAGATCGGCTTCATGATAGAACCGAAAAAGAAACCTCCGAGGTTGAAGTTCCCGCATGTTTACACCCATGGTCGCCTGCCACACACCTGCCATGGTGTCTTGAAAGTAGGCAAACCGGACAGCCCGGTTCGTGAGCAACCTGCCAACCGCATAGTACCCCTCTTCCTCCGCTTCATGTTCACCAGGTTCAAAGGGTACTTGTACAACAAACTCTTCATCGTCCACATCCGCCAAAGTCAAACTAGCACACTGGTCAATAACCTCCTGAGCAGCCATACACAAAGAATGAATACAGTCGCAGGGAGAACGGACATCGTCGACGCCGAGCCACGGCGGAAAGATGTAGAAACCCTAAAAAACTCGCGAAAACGACGAGAGAATCCTATAAAATTTAGAAATTGTATCAAAAAAATAAATTTCTAAATTTTAAAAAGGTGTAAATAAATATTTAAATTTGTCAATCCCCTCACTTTAAGAGGTTGCTCCCACATTGTGGCTAGTGAGACTTGATCCCTGGTCATTCTTCCAAAGTTTCACCTCTGTGACCAGTTAAGCTGCCCATGCGGGTAAGTTTTATTTACCAGTAACCAATAAGATTGGTTAATGGTAAAATTATTGATGTTCATTACTGTTGACCAATGTTAACCGTTGTTGACCGCCACTAAATTGTTCCAATTAAAAGAAAAATGATCAGCAATCGTCTTTTCCAGTTGACCGAAGAATACGATCGTGGCCTTCTCCACTGGAGAATGGTCGCCTTATTCTTTAATGGCAATGTCGACCGGTCGCCATAATTGTTGACAGAATCCTAATGATCGGTTATTTTAAGTGAATAACCAGTTATTGGGTTTAGATGTACCAAAATGACAAATTTGAGTGTTTAATTGTACATTTTTAATGTTCAAAAGCTTAATTGCTGGTACAATTTAAGGGCCTATTTGATTATTTTTCTATTTTTTTATAATATTAAGTTTAGGGTTGGTAAATAAAATTATATCTTTTCAAAAAAAATAAAATTATATATTTAAAAATTATATTAAAATTATTATTAAACACAAAAATAAATTTAAAAATTATTTTTAAAAAATTAAAGAAAGTAACTTTAAAAAAATTAATTTGACTAATTAATACTCCGTAATAAACATGATAGGTAAATTTTGGCATATGAAATATTTTAGTTTCTTTTATTTTAATTAAGGAAAATGAAATGAATTAGAAAATCATTAAAAATTTTAAATTTCTTACAATGTTATTGTTTTTCATTTTCTTCATTCATTTTGTGTCTTGCTTTTATATATATATATATATATATATATATATATATATATATATATATATATATATATAACTCAAATTGTTTGTATTTTTTTTATAACATTTAATCAATGTTGCGAAAAACGTTAGGCGGCCCCTAGGCGCCT